AAATCTTCATTTCTCTATGCACATTTTGCACTATGAGCAAGGACTTGACAAATAGGTATTTCAAAATCTTGACTGCTTCTAAAGAAAGAGCTAATTGCTTCAGATTGAGAAGTGTGAGGGGTGACATTCAGGTGGAGATCTTAAGGAACACTTTGTATAAAGTTGGTATCATGTGAAATGGATCTTGAAAGATGAATAGCAGTTCCACATGTACTATGGAGAGTAAGAACACTCAAAACTAAGAGAACATGAGAAAAGAAGAGAAACATGAAAAACTGTTATGTGTTGGTGTGTGTATATGTGCATGTTCATATATACACACATCTTTCTAGTTACTCAGCATCTTCTGGAGTAAAGGGTGGATTCCTTACCCCAGACATATGTCTCATCAGTCCAACTAGATCACAAAATTCTCAGGGAGAAATGGTCTCTCTGCACCTCTTCCCCACAGGCAACATATACACATTCACCACCCACACGGACCCCCCGAAAAGCACCTCTCCTCTAGCACCTTAGAATGAATTGACACTGAAATCATTATTATGAATTGAAATGCCTGTTAATCCACAAAAGAAAGTTTTATATCTAGTGAAAAAAGATATCAGAATTAACTTGGTTAAAGTCCTAGATAATTAGCACATACAGTACTGGAAGAAATATAGTTTTATTTCCTTTTAACCAAAATTATTTCTTATAGGGTAAGGTAATAAGTCAGGAAGGTGAGCTGCAACATAAATCAGCCAACTGTCACATAAGTTTCTTTCTTTAATATTACAAAACTTAAGAAATAAACTATTCAGATTCTACAAAGAAACATTTAAAATGAGCTCATTACATGCAAATTAAAACAGAAACATTGAATAAGCACTGGGCCACAATTAAAGGCAGAAGAAACAGCAGGTAAGAAACAATTTTCATTGATCAAAGAACTAAAAGCTAGCAAAATAAAGTATTCTGCATTGAAACTGCTCTCATGAATATGAAGAATTCTGAAGTAAGGAGATTTTTTTTTTCATTTTTCAAAGAAGCTTTGGAGGTAGAAATAGATTTGCAGATCTTGATACAATGTACTTTCACGGTGTCATTTTCAAGCAATGAAGCTATTAAGTTTTTTTTAAAAATGCAGAAATGCCTTAGAAAGAGTTCCAAAATTGAAAAGGGCATAAGGTCATCATTTTAGAGCCTTTGGACCCAAAGAAGAACTGTACATAATTACATGAAATTTTCTTTGCAAAAATTTAGAACTTCTTCTGTTACACAATTACACCTCCTCATAAACAGAGGCTTTAACAGCCTATCCTGGGTGCTCAGACATAGGGTCACTTTTCATCCAAAAGTATTGAAATGGCAAGGCAAGTAACAGTACATAGTATATTCAAGTAGAAATATAAATACTGAGACTTTAAAATTCACCACATAGAAGGTTTAAAACAAATATATAGATTAGTGGGCAAATAGTAAAGTTAGACAGTACTTTCATGATAGCACGACATTTTTCTGTTTTATTCTCTCATGTATCCCTGGCACCTGGAGCAATACCTAGGCACACAGTAGGTGCTCAATTATTGAATCTGCTTTCATGAAAACAAAGCATTATAAAATGAGAAGTGACAGATTTTTTTTCTTATAGATTCATTTTAAAATTAAAATATACCATTTTTTACCTATCAGGAAGGCAAATAAAATTTTTTTATTGTACACAATAGAGAAATGGGCACAGCACTCTTATAAACACTGTCAGGAAAGGCAGAACTGCCAAGAACAGTTCTACAGCTTGTGCACTGTTCAAGGGCACTAAACCTGGGATGGAGTAGGGCATGCAGGGCAGGTTGAGAGGAGAAACCTAGTAGGTGCCAGGCAGGTGAAAGCTGAGTCAGTTCTGGTGACTTCTTTTTGTAATTTTTCAATCCAGAGGGCAGGGCAGCTTTTACTACCTTGCTGCATTAGATGGGAGTGTGAAATAGGTGCCTTATTTTAGAACAATTTGGAAATGCCTAGCAAGATTCAAAATATACAAGCCCTTTAACTAGAAAATCTGCCAGAAATGATAAGATTTTTGCTTTATATATATACTTACATATGCAAATAAAAAGACATGAACATAACCATTCCTGATGATAGCAATTATCTATAAACCTACTGAATGCTTACTTACTGGAGAGTGTTTGCATAATGTGTGTACATCCATAAAATAAAAAAGTAGGCAGGAATACTGTGGTGTGGATCTGTACATGCAGATATGTACTAAGAAATATTAAATTTGACAAGGTATAGAAGTGACTATGTTCTAATTACTTTAAATCAAAAATCTTTTTAAAGTATAAGACATTGAATTTGAATTTCAGTACTGGAAACACTGATGTATATATATATATATATATCCATGCATTTTAATATCTAATACTACTCAAATGCCTAAATTCAGTTCTATAACACATTTCAAATATCACACATTCAGTTTTAAACACAAATAATTGCTAATTTTAAAAAAGGGTGAAATATATATTTAAGAACAATGCCAAAAATTATATTTTTTTAAGTTGAATTCTCTTAAGCATTTCTATTCTGCTTTATGTTTCCTTGAAGTCCTTCTCCATACTTCTCACAAAGTCATAATTTTCACCAGCTTCAATTAAATTATGCTTCTGCAGCTGTCTGGGTCAGAGCATTTAACATATCAAACATAATCCAAGTGGGAAATGTAAGTACTTTTGAAACAGTCTCCATGCCAAGGAGGAATCCCCAGTTTTGAGAAAGTAAAAGGAAGGTAATTTTATTGGTAGTAAGGTAACAGTCCATGCCCTTTACTCCTTCCTACCTAGAAATCCATTTCTTGTTTTTCCTCAAAAGTGAGCCAAGATTTAAATAAAGTGGAAGAGCACTACTTGCATTAAAGAGGGTATAGCAGTTAAAGAGAGCATAGACATGAAAGGGGCAAGTTCTGAATAGTACACATCCTTAAGAGAAAAAAAATCCCCAAATATATACTTATATATACTTTGATCTGCAGCTTATCACTGCATATAGACCATAATGTCTTTCCTGGTTCCAAAGATTAGTCACAGAAACAGGAAAACAATTACTCCAAGACTTCCCTTCAGTTGCTTCCACTTTCACCTACCTTTGGCACTGTTCAACACAACCAAGTCCAAAATTGGCAAATAAGATTTTTACTAAAATGTGCCAACTGATGGAACTAGGCAATGCAACTAGCTGTATAAAATAATTTGTTGCATGTTGTCCATGTGGTTTTAATATCCTAGGTATTGTTCTTAGGAGGGGACGTGGATTTAATTATCTATGTTTTAATACGCACTGCACAATGTAAAACAACAGCTGGAGTATGAGAACACCTTTTAAAATTCACCTTTTTCCTGTAATTACCAGTTAGATTAATTGTCCAATGATCAAATTCAAAGATCACACTCTTGTGTCTTGTACCCTTAAATTCCAAATAAACTAAACTGCCTAAACATAGGTCATCTTAACGAAGTTATTTATATAAACATTTATTATAACAATTTAAAACTAAGTGATAATTTTTACATCTTAATTCTTGTGTACATCTTTACCATAAATTTGGTTTCTTTTAAAATTATCAATGCACTAGACTAAGTTGAATTAAACTAAAATTTTCACGATATCTTCAAAATAAGGCATAGGCTATTTTTTTCTGTAAATTAATGACATTGCAGATTCTGAAAATGTTCTGGGCTTCCTGTATCAGTTCAGGTTTGTATTTACAAGTGGATTCTATGTAATTATCACCTAAAAGAGCCTCAAAAAAGTCACAGAAATTTATATTTTTCTTAATTTGATAACTTTCAAAAGTTTTTCACCAAAAGTCATATCTTGTTAGAAGAAAAATTGGACAACATCCTTAGGTTTTATTATTGCTGCAAAGACACTGTCAATACTGCCAATTAACTGGTCAGATTCTTCCAGTGAAGAGCAGAAATATATTATATTGTAACATTAACTTCATAAATAAAATTCTTCAGAACATATAAACTTACTTACTTTAAAAATCCACCTTTCATCTTTCTGGACAGACCATATTTGCCACCAGATGTACTCGTTGTTATCAAAGTATTTTTTGTAATTGACGCTCATCAGGTATAATCCCCAAATAAACTCATCAAATCTTCCATGCATAATCTAGAGCAAGGCTGTAATAATAAACTCCCCAAATAGCACTGTTTTCTAATCATACTGTGAAGTACCACTAATTTTTAAAAATAACCCCTAAAAGAACTTTTGACATAACAACCGTGGAGGAGAGGAATTTAGCTAATCTCACAGTGTTTATAAACAATTCTAATGATAACTTTCAACGCACTTTAAAGAAATGCATCTCAGTCACTTTGTGTTAAAACGAATCATTAATTCACTACTCAAAGGTGTAAACCTTTCCATTATTTACTCTTAATTCTCACATTTGGACCTCCAATGAAAGACTTAAAAGCATTAATCCGAAGGAGCGAAAAGTTTAAAATCCACCTGCAGGCATTTTTTTTATCCTTAACCATCATTGCCAGGGACTCTCCGTTAGAGTTTAATGCTTCGTCGAGGTTTCCCTAAAAGTCCTACAGACAGTGTGTCCCAAACTACCCTAAACAGACGACAGCCCCCCAGGGACGGAAACGGGGCGGACACGAGAGGCTCCACACCCACGCCCGCAGCGGGATCGCGGGACGCAGTCGCCACCTTGGGAGGCGCAGAAGCGCACGCCAGTCCCTAGCGAACTTGCCTCCGGGGGCAGCCTGTCAAACCTCCAGTGGGCGAGGTGGGGGCTGAGAACACACGCGCACTTTGTCTCCCGCACCAGGCGGGCACGGGGAGGCGGGCGGCGCGAGCTGAGGGCGGCGCGGACACTGCCGCCGGGCCACTGACAGTTGGCACCTGCGGGCACCCGAGGGACCCCGTCACCGAGGCCTGGCGTGGCGCCACAGAGAGCGCGGGACGGCGCAGAGAAGCTGTGCCTGGCAGGCACCACGTACCTATCATGATCACTGGGCAGGTGGAGGCTGCTGGGCGCGTAGGGGCCGTCAGGCGCTCGGGCACCCGCCCGCACCTCCCACCTGCGGCGCTCCGGGGTTATTGACCAGGACTCCCTTCCCCCGCCCCTCGGCGCCCGCCCTCCTGAATGCGCACGCGCGAACGACGCGTTGCCGAGGGCCTTCTGGGAGTCGTAGTTTTAACAAGTGACTTCGCCTCAGCCCGCCTGCCGGCTGCTGTCCACCTTCAGCCACCAGCCGCCCTTCCGGTTTAAGGCCCAGGGAACGCCACGTCACAGCGGGGCGGCGCCGTTCGGCCGCAGTGTTGACGGGTCGCTTAGCAACCGGAGGCTCACCTTTGGAAGCTTGTTACAGCTCCAGCCGCGGTCCTGCCCTCTTCCCGCCCCTCCCCTCCTCTCAACTCTCCTCACTCGGGAGCTGCCAAACATCAGGATCAACCTGGGCTCTACGAGGAGTTGAATTTCTACCATTAACGCGCCTTTTTACATTTTTTTCCCCCGCCTCCTCACATCTGTAAAACCCACTGATTCTTTTCCTACACGCTTTATGAGAACAAGACATTTTCTAGGAAGATGGTGGCAGAAAAAGAGACCCTGAGCTTAAACAAATGCCCAGTCAAGATGCCGAAGAGGACCAAGCTGCTGGCGCAACAGCCGCTCCCGGTGCACCAGCCTCACTCCCTGGTGTCTGAGGGCTTCACAGTCAAAGCCATGATGAAAAACTCAGTCGTAAGTGATCTTCCTGAATTGAACGCCCCCGAGTCAGGGGACCCCAGATTAGAGGTGTCCACCTGCCCTGTGAGGATTCTGAGCCCGTGTCCTGGGTGGTTTTGGCTGAGAATGGCAATTACCCGGCCAGTAGCAGACGGTGTCCAACAGAGTGTGGAGATCCAGGCCAGTTTGTTAGAAAGGGTCTCGGGCAAGTGAGGTGCTAGGACCATTTTTAAGCACCTTCCTAATAACTCTTGTTTTCTGGACCACCCAAAATGACTCTTAAGCTATTTACACAAAGGAAAAGGACTTCGCCTTTTCTTACTGATTCCTAAACTATCCCCATTCAACAAAGGGTCTTATAAACTTATAAAAGGTTAGTTCTTAGAAAGCATAAACTCGCTTACAGAATTAAACCTGCGCTGGTGTACAGCTGGGAACATAAACTCATTCAAGCATCTACTATAAAAAATTTTATCAATTCAACCTATACATTTTTAGAATATCCTAGCATTTACTCTTACAAAATGGTATCAGCCTGCTAGAGTAGTGAAAGACCATTTAATATGAAATCTATTCCCAGAAAGGCCTTTTAAATGGTAATTTGAAACAATCCAAGCTCCAGTTCAAATATCTCTGCCTATTAATACAATTTTTACTTCAATTCTATTATTTGTGAGAGTAAAACTAAAATATTCTCAATACTATTGGGGAAAAAAGGTTTAAATGCACACAAATAATTTAGCTACATGCAAGGTAGATTTAAAAAAGAATAACCTCCCTATTAGCTGAACAGCTCTAAATTTAGTACACTTAATCGGGTTTTACTACCAAGTAAACACCCGTTTGAAATGAGATATTAATAATAAATGCAGCTTTTAAATTTGTATAATTTATATTCTGAGAGGATCTGACTTATTGTATAAGTTAATTATGTTAAAAGAATAGTGTTACTTTTCAGTGTCACATTATTTGTTTTACATAAATGTTGCAAACCTAATACCTTATTCCTAAACCATATCCCTAAAATACACAAATGAAACACATTACTTCTAGACCCATAGGCCAGATTCCTGTGTTACTATGAAAAATGATATTCTGGTTATTGGAATATTTGCAGATTCACAATAGTTAAAATTCTTGGATATAGACTAAAATGCCTGCTAGTGTGGCTGAAGTCCTTTTGCTGTATTTCCCATGAATATGTGGTCATGGGAGTCAACATGGCTCATTTATCAGCAATACAGAATATCATAACCATTCAAGACAATTATTTCTTTCTTCTATACTGTATTTATTATTATAATCTTAAATATTATCTATTCATGATTATTATTTTTTCAATGTTACATTTTTTTTCACTGATATAAAAAATTGGTCTGGTTCTCTTTTTCTAAACCTATATTTGTAATCATGTTTATTTTTTAATATAGTTCTAAAGTCATTGTTCTGGAAAATTAAGTATTTCAGTAATGGCAAATGTAACAAGTATGCTTACAAGACTCAAAGAAAAAAAGATTGTAAAGCAAACTTCTTTATAAACAACTTATTTGAGATAAATTATATTCTTACTTCTGTATTTTTAGTGAAAATCTCTTAGTGTAATATCCTTACCTCCAATGGGATCCTCAAAAAAGATGGGTCATTGTTTCACTTCAGTTAGTGGAAATCATAGTTCTTAGATGTAAATGTTATTCATCCATCCATTCATTCAATCAACAGCTTCTTTCCTTTATTTCCATTTTTCTTTCTTTTAGCTAACCTGAGAGCTTACAAGCACAGTTCTAGGGATTTGAGATCAGCAACAAAGTCCCTGTCCTTAGTACTAGGAAAATCACCAACAACAAAAAGAAAATGTTGGTAAAAGAATGATCGACAATAGTATTTATATAAAATAACTTCAGTGGTATAGGAAATAAGACATTTCCTTTTCATATCCAGTATTTACATTTCACCATTTGTCTTCAACAGTATAGACTTTTCTCCATTATAAAGTCAAAATAGCCCTATCTCTTTCTTAAGGTTTATTTCTGTTCAGAAAATAATATACCAAACTCCAACTTTTCTTAATTATAATCCATTGTCCAAAAGCTGACACCCAAGCCATTTTTCAGTCTTTGGCCTTACCTTCTATTGAGTCTTTCAAGCACATTCTAATTAAGTAAGTCACCACTCCAGTGCTATTCCACAAAAGATGTATAGATCTGTACCTTAAGGAATTATATGGAGATCCCCAATGTTTCTTTGAGAGTACTTCAGAAATATAAGTATGCTCACTTGATCATAAACAGATTTGATCAGATGGTCTGTGCTAGCAGAAATCCTTATTTAAACAGTCATAATCTATATACAAGAATGAAAAATTATTTACAAAATGATACATGTAAATGGCATTTTTTACATCCCAATGTCAAATGTTCTTCAATAGTAAGTAGTTCCTTTATTTTCTTGAAATTCTTGCATTCTATATGAAAACCAGCAATGGCAAAAGCCCTACAATCAGAATAATATTCAAATTTATGTTTTTAATTTTTGCCTCAAAAGAGTGATAGGAGATACAGATACTATGCTTATATGTGGCATGATAGAACCCATAATCAGAAGCTGGTAGGCCAGTGTTCTTTTGACTTCTCAACAGACAGTGAATGTCTTCTGTGTCAACCTACTTTATTGTAAAGCAAGTTAGGATACGGACCCATGGTAATGATGATACAAAAGTTGGCTTCAACCTAAGCTTTATACTACAGCTTTCCTTTTCAATAAACAACAGATGTTTTATGCTCAAAGCTTAGGAGAATGGGAGAAATAATTCCTTAATATTACTTTAGAGACTGTGACACTTACCAATCATATATTTATTCAACACATAGTAGTAATGATCAGTATTTATAAATTATATAATAGGATATTGATTTGGCTTCTTTAACGGAAACCAAATAACCAAAGCTTGCCTAAGATGAAAGTTGTTTCTTTCACATAAAAAAATTCCAGGTTTGCAGACAATCCAAGGAAGCTGGGCACCACTTCCCCATGAGATAAGTTCTGGTGCATTGGAATCTTGTATATTCTTGCTTTGTATCTGGCAGAACAAAGCCCTGAGTCAAGAGTACCACAGGATCAAATCCCCATCCTCAGAAAGAAGGAACGAGGAAGAGAAAGCTTTCTTTTATGGGCATGACCCAGACACTGGACCCCACTTTAATTCACATCCCACTGGCCAAAATTTAGTCATCAGCCTGTATTTTCCCCTTTTGCAAAAGCCTTTGAAAAACTGACCCTTGAAGCCACTTCCAGGCCTCCAAAGCTCTTCTACCAGAAAAAGGAATAAGAAAGTTTATAGTACCAAAAGGACATAATCTCTAACACCTACTCCAGGCAGGGGGAGAGAAAAATAGGTAGGAAGCAACCTTCAACAAGAGGCAGGAAGAAACGGAGGCCGTGCAACCTTATTAGAAGGACACATCCCAGAAATGGCACTCATCACTTCTCAAATCCATTTCTGAAACATAGTCTTATGGTCACATCCTGTTGCAAGAGTTTGGAAAATGTATTCTTTGACTGGTAGCTCTGCACCCAGCAGAAACTTGAGATGTTTTATTACTATGATACATGCAAGAAGAGAAATTGGGTGATGATTAGAAGTGTCTGCCACCAGTGCTCAATGTGCTAGGTTGCTAATGAGGAAAAGGAGATAGACTAAATAATTACAGTACAAAAACATACTTATCTATAGTCAGGTTTATAAATACTTAGTACAGTGGAAGTACTAAGGATGAAGGGACCAAGTGACAATAACCTGACTGAGGCCCTCATCACCTTTTGTCTAGGTCAACATCACCCATGGTCTCTAGACTCCACCCACTAACTGCCTGTTGTCTCAATAAACTAGGAGTACTGCTATGCTCATCATTTCAGTACAAAGGTCTTTCTCACCACTGCTCAGAGAAATCATGATACACAGGAACAGCAAGGTCTTCTGTGGTAACCCTATTCCATGTCTTTAATTTCATCTGCCACTATTCTCATTTGCTTCCACCAAATTAAACTAACTTTTCACCATTGTGAGTTCACTTGTGTTGTCCCCTTTGCTTAAATGCCCTTGTCCCTACTTATCTGCACACCCAAATCCATTTGGACATTAGGTGGCAAGTATCTACTGATCACTGGCCATGCTATGCACTATTTTGGGTGCTGAGAATTTAGCAGTCTGGAAGAAGCAGAATGTGTACTGGTCCAAGAGGTTTTAGTTTTACAGATAGCTAAAGTCCCAATGCTTTGAGAAGACTTTTAAAATTTTCCTTCTTTGTCAACCAAGATGTGAAGTTATCCTTTATTCATTATTTTCCACTATGTATTATAGATATTTAGGCCCATGTTTTATACCCCTTTGTAAATTTCCT